ATTCCACGCGCGTATCACCACGCGCGCTCTAAGCACGTGAAACAGACGATAGACGCCGTCGTTTCACCAGGGACTAAACGCGAAAAAAGTGAAGCGAATTTTTTGCACAAACTATCGGATCTAACCAGGGTATTATTCATAAATGACAGCTGCCCATTAAATATCTTGCATTCTCAGTAGTCACCTTTTAAATTTGTTGTGTTCGTTATGTAACTGGTAAAAGTTTCATCATAGAGCAACCAACTGCGCATACGCTTAAGAATCGCCATTTGGCAGAGGACAGAGAAGGAGATATTGAGTCAGAAGGTACAGATCCACTTTATTTGGGCAAGAGAAAGCTTAAATGAAACTTTTCATTTACGAAGTTCTGCTTCTCCAGTATCATATAAGCTTTAATGAATGTAACAAAATCTGATCTAAGCATGTATTCATTCTTAAAAACGAAGTGTTGTAAGAGATATCATGTATGCCAGATGACTAATCGTGTATGTCAGGGAAATTGGCATAGTTAACAATGTCAGGAAAATGTCTTTAGTACGTACTTATAATATCGACTGCGTCAGTGGTAGTTAAGTAGGTTTGCATTTATCTAGGTTGGGAGTTTATCAGTTCGATATACATATCCGTGATCCTAGATAGCGATAACCTTGCATATCTACCTAACTAGAAAGCAAAATACACTGTTATCACATGCAATATCTCGTGGTGATATCATGAAATAATTATCATATCAATGATATCAGCAAGCGCGATACCAATAGACTTGTAAGAGTTTCCTTATTGCTCTAGGAGTAAAATATTACATCTTATTTTCATTGTTATTTTGCGATACAGTGCTTAGAGATCAAGAGAAGCACTGGTTAGGATGGTTAAAGAAACATAAAATGGTGTTGGAATGAATCAAAATATTTTAAGCTTAGTCATTTAACCCGATATGCTTGGAATTTAAGCCTCGTTTATGCATTGTTTTAAGACCTTTTGACTTCATCATCACGTTTTGTTTGTAAAAATATTATCCTTTTAAACCAAAGTTGAAACGGGTCGGTTTATTTGTTTTAGTCGCAAGAGATACTTCAACGGAAAATTGAAATTTTTATCAGGCAAATCGAATTCGCCTCGTGTATACTTGAAGCAAATTAATAATAATAGTGCAGTAATTATCGAAATGACTAAAAGAATTCGGTTTTATTCGATTTACTGCAAAATCCATATCATCTGTGATAATCATTAATCTTCCAAGGGGTCAACACGATGCCTTTGTAAAACAAGCCTGCTAAAACTGTTTTAGCTAAGATTTAATGAAAACAAAACTATATTAGTGAATACCGAAATGTTCTGTTCTAGCATCCCCACGTTTGCTTGTTTTCTTTGATGGCGCTAACAGCTAAAAAAACAAGTCAAAATGCGTTTCTAAATCTGCACATGTTTCCTAAAGTTTTTCTTTCAGTAATTTGCGAGAAAACAGCTAGGTTTGAATTCTGTCGTCAAAACAAGCCGACAAAAATGATAACAAAACAATATGTTTTTTCGTCAAATTGGAAACAGAATACAAACGTAAACCATTGAACAGCTCCTGGGAAATGTATTTACTTAAACACACCGGCAGCGAGTTGCACGCCGCATGCAAAGCTCGACTGACATTATTTTTGACATATTTTCTTTGTTCCAGGCGAGTGAAAGGTGCTTTCACAACAGAAAGCCAATTTTAGAATTTGACAGTTAATGTTGCGGTTAAGGAAAACATCCACAATTGTATTGAGATGGACAAAAGAAATGGATTCGTTTCAATTCACGCCCAAGTCAAACTCGAATTCTAGACCACCGTGTAAAAATTCCACTTAAACTTTTACAGGAGTCACGCGCAAGGGCTTTTTTAGGAACTTGGAGATTTAACATTTCTCGAGAATTTGCTGTTAGCCAAGCAGTCTGGCTACGTCTGATTAAAAACGACTAATCACTAACTCTTTACTTTTTTGATTAAATTCAAGTAGCAAGGTCCTTAAGTAGCCAAGGGAAACCCAAGTCTAAGCGGATCTCTCGGGTCGAAGGTGAAACAGTCTTGATAAGGAATTAGATTCTCCCAAGTAAGTTTATAGATTTTAAGAAAAGAAGAGGAAAGAGAATTTGCATTTTTTATCACTAGAAAGTGTTCAATTTATTCACTCGATGGTAAATTGGTACGGATTAAACAGCACGATAGCAAGACACGTGGCGACAAGTTTCAGAAGTTAAAAATATTTCCTGCTTTAACTGCGTGTAAACCTCGCATTTAAACGTTACAAAAAAGATCAAGTCACGTTTCATGTTATTCGTAAGAGTGATGCCGAGCTGAAGAGTTTTAAGTGTAATTAGAGTATACTTTCAGTGCCATACGCCAGTAACCATTTTCTTATCGCGAAGTTATAGATTGAAACCGCTCAATGGACATTCTTTCAAAACCCGTTGAATTTTTAATTAAAAAATTCTTGTATAGTTCTGTCAAGGCTAACCTCCCTGTAAACCATTCCCTCACTAAAAAACAGGGTTATTTTTGTCAATGATTCTAGCCTCAAAAAATTTCCTCCAGATGTCCCTGTGACGTGAATGTGTACGCGGACAAAACCACAATTGAGTGTTGGTGGTTGAAACAATCTTAATATACTCTCCCACTTGTAAGTACTCCATAAAATCTTGCCACTTTCTGAATCCCGTTGCTGTTAAGTTGTTATATTCCGGTGAAAAACTATTGCAATTTAGCAGGGAAATAATGTAGTTTTAACCACATTTATCTCATGATTAGAGAGATTTAGATCCCAACATAACTCACACCACCGCCGGTGAACAGCGAGAGTTTATTTTTTTGATGTACGGAATTCAGCTCATTGAAGAATAATGTGAAAACATTTGTAATCCCTGTGAAGAAGAGATCTTTGGGGGGTGGAATGACTGAAGCTAAACGTAATCATTGTTCCAGAAAAATTTGCAGTTTGCGTTTGTCGTTAAGAGGTCATTTTGTCTCTCATCTCCAATTTAAATCTGTTGTAGTTAGTCATATAATTTTGACCAATTGATACCGAAAAAAGTATTTTTTGTTTACAACCTGGAAGGCAAGCTTTATTTGAGAAGTTCAATCTTCTAAAGGTATCAGTCAGCGAAATAACCACTATGAGTTCGTCTTCGATCAAAAATCACGATCTACGCAAAATGCAGCTAGAGAATTGTTTCGATCGGAATTTTAAGCGGGACTAGAACCTGAATTCTTTAATGACTATTTGTATGTCATAGAAATCGTCTGCAAGAGTACAGCTGGAATTAAATGTAAATTAAATGTCATGATTTTGCACGATAAGGAAGCACTAGTTGTCGTCTAAAGCGGCATTAACCTATCTTAGATTGCTTTGCGTCAGTTTGTAATGATGTCTTACGGAACATGCTAAATATGCAGAAAGGGAACTTAGCTGATGTAAAGTGTATTTTCTTTGCCTCTTTTTGCTAAACGCGGGGTCAATTAAACACCAACACTCGAAGATGTTTAAACTGTAGGAACCTTTCGGCCTTCATTTGCCGCTTTAGTGGTTTTATTCAATTCCGTTGTTTTTTCAGACGCTGTAAACGGATTTACAGTTCCCAAATCCGAGTTCTTACCTTGTCTTATCATCAAATATCTACAGTACACGTGAAAATAATGATCACAAGTCAGTGGTGTTTAATCCGCGAGATTTTTCCAAGTTATTGCCGGCGAATTTTCGCGTTCATGGATAGGAGAATTGCGTCAATCATTCAGTGGAGGGGTAAATTATAGAGAGCAAATGTTGTCATGGTTTATGGGCGTGGAACAGAAAAATGCCGCTTAATACGTAAATACACAATTGTATCAAACGCAACTAAGGGAACCACCGCGCGGTATACCACTAGTAAGAAGATTAAAAAGCAATGTAAAAAGTTATCGAGGTTTTAAAAAAGATTAAAGTTGAGAACATTATCAACAAAAGGAGAGTAGACTTTGAGGCATCGATTTTCTCTAAACCCCACAAAGAATTTGCTTAACTCTTGGGAAACAATCGCCTTTTCCGCCGAAAACTGTTTCCAGAAATTGCTTCAGTCAACAACCATTTTTCGGACACCAATTGAAAAGTTTTTAATCTCTTGTAAAAATAGGTGTTTTCTGTCCGGCCAGGGGAAATCTCGAATGCTTATCTTTCACAAACATCTGAGAATTAGAAACGGGGATATGATTCGCACAGCGGGATTGCACTCACTAGCGGATTTACAAACTGGATTAAACGACCTTTTAAAATGTTTCTTGATCTAATACCCAAAGAAAACAAAGGCTTGCCAGCAATATAAGGCTTTCCGATTTTAAAAAAAGAGCAACGACCTTTTCCTCTTGAAAAAATTTCGCTTGCAGTAGCGCGGGGAGAAACCCATTTCTAGCTTCCTGTGTATGGTTTCGTCTTTTGCTACACCCTTCCGTCGATATAAACAACTTTGAAAAGGCAAACTATAGAACTGATCTAAATATAGATACGGAACAGCAAGACATGGCTCTTTCTGTCTTTCAAGGGAGCTTTATTAGATTCGTAATGATCCATTTAAAACTGAGCTTTTGCTCTCGTTTATTCAACGATTATTTCTATTCAAAAACTAGCGGAAAATAGCTCGTGTAACTCGATTAGTATTCACCTATATTATTTCAAGCTATTACAACTAAGAGGGAGGGAGGTACAACCAACGTCATAAAAATTCCTGAGGTTAATTGTTTCGTTTTGTATAATGTAAGATTGTGGTGTGTTAACGAAAACTTGTACAAATTGTGATGTCCAGGACATCCTTCCTGCTTCTAAATTAAATTTGTTTTCGCGTTCAACCGAGTTTTTAATCCTCTAGTAATTAATATAAATAACATTGACAGCATTTCAGATCAAGAACTTGAAGCTAAAAAACTCAGTCGATAATCATTGAAAATAAAATTGAACTGAATTTTGACCGATGAAACTCATTATGGGTACCTTGACTCGGCACATGGCAAAATCGTTAGAAAAGCATCGATCATCACACACCGAGAAACTTCTGCACAATGGAGAAAAATACGAAGTACTAACGCCGCAAACATGTTGTTTGCTCTTGACGGCTAACAGAATAGATGCAATTTAAATGATTATTTAACAAATCAATAGCTTCGCGCCTATTGAATGCCAGTTTGGTGAAAACATTAGGATAAAAAGCAAAATTCACTGTGTAATTATCTTTGCTAATTGTTTCAATACAAAAAACATTTTGTATGTATCATTCAGTGATGAGAAAAATGCCTGCAAAAAACTAGTTAATTATTTTAACACCTAAGGTAATCGTTTTTCTTCTTTGATTCATCACGGTTGCTTTTTGTGCTCTCCAAATATCCCATCTCTAAAACGAGACTTAAGACAAATTATATAAATGATTTGGGAACTGAATACAGCTGAATATCTTCTGAGTGACTATCAAATATTGATAATGTTTAATAGAAGCAATTTGTTCGCAATATCGCCTCATTTTAAAGTACCTGAGTTCCTCAATCTCCATTGGTTTTGCTGTTCGTAGGGAACTAGAGGCTTGCAAGGGCAGTTTGAGCCGCATCAATTCGGTCCTTCTCTTAAAATACCAGTAGGCTAATTCTACCTCTCACTCAGTCGTTTCTAGAGGTTTTTGCTCGATCAGTTCGCTTATCATAAAACTGCCGCTTCGTCGAGATTTGGAGGTTTGTTGGACGGGCTGAAACGCACCGGCGTGAAGGCGCCGAACACCGTCTAACGAGGCATAGCGCGCGGTCGGGCGATGGATGTTTTGTATTGGAGAAAGCTGCGAATGTACAGACGGTGTTGCGCAAGATTCTCCAGGGCTGATCCTGTGAGGTATTGCGTTAAGGTCACAGTAGGTTGGAAAGTGCAAACTTCGAAGTTGCTGGCTGAACTCGTCCACGAACAAGTTAAAATGATGATTGGAATTAACCTTGCGCACAAATGCCGGCTCGTTGGGTTTCTGTGGAGGACGACACTTAAACCTCTTAGCTCGGCGTAGGAAACTCCCGCTTCCAAACATATCCCCTGAGCCTGGATGTAAGGTCCAATAATTCCCTTTACCTGGCTTACCAAAATAACTCCGGGGAACTTTAATGAAACAGTCGTTTAAAGACAAATTGTGTCTAATGGAGTTCTGCCACTTCTGCTGATTGCTCCGAAAATATGGAAACTGCATCATGATGAATTCGTAGATTTCATTCAGGGTTCTCATGCGGTACGGAGAGCTGTCAATAGCCATTGCGATCAGCGCGATGTATGAAAATGGCGGCTTTACTTCTTCAGAGAGATAAGGCTTGCTTCGCGACTGCATGTTGGATTTACCCGTGATGTGGTTTCGTTTCGGTTCGGGACTCTTTATATCGACTGAGAAGAGCGAGGATTGGATGGCAACCTGATGAAAATTTCCTGAACGGTACATCAATGATGTATCGGTAGTTATTTCCTTGTGTCCGTTCATCGGAACGGTCATCGTGTCAGCACTCGAGAGGTTTCCTGTCTCCATTCCTGTGCACTCTTCAACGATATCCTTCGCGGATAAATCGCCTTTTCTCAGCTGTTCCATAGCCATGCAAACTCAATTTAACACCTAGCTCTTGTCTAGCGTCAATTTCAGGGCTATAATCTGCTTCCTTTGCGAGAGCCACTCAATCACTTGTTTCCCGCACGGACGGAGATCGCTCTATTTCACAGCAGTCAACACACTGCGAAGTCACCACTGGAGATGAATCTCACACTTCTTCAGCGTAAAAGCTCCTAAACTCCTTTATTTTAAGTCTGACAGTTTTCTAGACCACCCAAGTTCGGTTTGTAGTCGGTGTTTTTACAGCAAACCTTCTTATGATGCAAAAATCTTGTGCACCGTCTTTTCCCAGACCAGAAAGTCCTCAGATTCACGTTATGTGGTTGCGAGGGGTATGCAATTAGTTGTCAACTCGGCACATTTATATCTCTCCACTCATCGTTTTAGAGGCGGTCGGTTGCCTTTGATAAATGCGGCGCGCACGAGGAATGCTTCGGCCATCTGGCGTAAATTAAAACTATCTGTCAACTGAACGTAAATTCCGTCCTGTGCGCATTCCTTAGAAAAACAAAAGAGTTCTCAAGTTGTTTAGGGTTGTTTTTCGCTTTGTTATTTTAACTAATTTTATAACAGGCGCGATCAAAGTTTTCAGTTACAGTTTACGTGGTCGGTAAACGCGATTGATTTCACGGGCAACTGTGTAAGGCTCGTATTTTGCGCGTAAATCCGCGTATTTATTTCTATTTTAAACCGCAGAAAGACGCATTTCAGGAAATGCGCGTAGCCTTTAACAAAGTAAACAACTGATTAGATCGAAAAACAAATTAGCAATTAAGCGGGCGATTAAAGTTCACCTAGACGCGATAACAGATCGGCCATCGCAGGTCCGAGTTTAAATGGATTAAATGTGACTCTTTGTAGCTTTGTGGATTTTTTTCATGAGGAGCAATTCTCAGCCCAATTGTTGCGAAAAGTATGTTTTGATTCGTAGTCGGGTTTAAGTCAACAAAGGTTGGTTAGAGCCTCGAGTGTTGTTTATAATTGTTTTCACGAAGCTTGTTTATTTGAATTAATGAGGGTAACATGAGTCGTTTATGGATAAAAAGTGGCCAAGGTTGACGCGTGCGCCGGCAGCCGCCAGAGGAAATGGGCGAATACCATCACAAAAGAGGTGTGGATCTGAAAAACGCATTTGCTTAAAATAAATGGGCTATTTCCATACCGGTGTCATTGCATAGTTTTCTGCTGTTTTACGGCAGTTTTATGTTTGTAGAGGGCTTTTATTGTTTATTGGTTGTATCCCGTCGTGTGAACAAGTCTTAGGTCTGCGGAATGCGCTGTATAAATAATTTGCAATTTGGTTTTGCAATAAAGATCTTCTAGCCTATTCTCAAAACATCAAATCAAATTGACAACTAGACAGTCGCACCTAAACAAGGATCTTCGCCATCTTTTACTATCAAAGCTGAACGATCTTAATCGTTCCCTAATGGAGCGGTGAAGATTGATAGTCTAGAAACGTACTTTAGAGATTCAATGTGCTTTTTCAGACTAGCATCGCATAATTTCTTTTGAAGTTGAGTTAAATAAATAATCTCCTAGTGAGCCATTAACTCGAGCTATTGACGCACGCCAGAAAAATGATTTCTCCACGCGCGTGTCTTTCTTTCGTTACCAAATGCGCGTTAGTCGATGAATTCTTTCACTTCCTGCCAACCGAATTCCAGTTTACTTTCTTCCTGAAAATGGACGCCTCTTTTGTTTCGAGCAGTTTCCGGTGATTGCAATGTTTTCCTGAAATTGTTTTTACTTGTAATTGAGCCTCGTCTCTTTCAGGGACTCTTAAACTGATCTCGATCTTTGCTTCGAAAACGCCTGGGCCATCCACGCTTTATATTCGTCTCGTGGAATTTTCGCGCGCGACGTTCTCGAAATGACACAGCTGGCCATAAGAGTAAGTCGATTTAGCGGTATTTATAGGCATCTTTGTCAGCAAACGAGCGGTACAATACATTTCCTTTATTCTCCGCAATATCCTAGCTGTGGTAAATAGCTTTGTAGTGGTGTAATCTGCACTAGAACTAAGGATCTGTTGGATGTTTGTACTTGTCCCCAACACCATTTAACGATCGGTGGGTGAAGTCAAACTACTTTGATGAAAGGAAACCACTCAATAGTTGTAGTGTCCCAAAATTTGCCCTTTAATGAAACTTAGGAAATTCCGATATCAAAGAACGTTAGCTTAATTACAGATCATAAGTTGCCGCATGAATCATCCGATTGCGCTTTTCAAAGCGTAATTCAAAAGCTAATACAGTAATGTTGAAGTTTGCTTTAGATCGAAGTGGTCGATGTGAATGTTCTATGTCGATCGAGGATAAACCCGTAATTTTTTCACACTTTTATCCCTCATTTACCTGTTTTCTACCGAATTAAATTGAATTTATCACTTTGTTCAGACCAACATTGCAACTTCTACTCTATGTCCATGTAAAGCACTTAAACCCGGCTTGAATCACGGAGAAGGGGTCGCAACGGAACATTTCAAATTTGTAAGATCTTTAAGCGTGTGATGTCTTGCTGTCTATTCGACTTCATTAATCAGCTTTATCATTACTTTGGTCACTCTGGAGTCACAAAGTCTCGATATGCCGCGATTTTAAAAGACTTAAGGAATTTTTGCTGGGTGTCCTATTCAAAAATTCCAATTTAATCGAAGGAAAGTAGGAAATAATATCGCTATAAGCTTGCCATAAATGATAAATAAAAACAGTCAAATCCTTAGATTTAAATATGATATAAAAATCGGGTAGCTGTGAACGAAAACTAAATTTTAAGGCTATTTTGATATGGTGTTATAAAAAAGGAGCGTTCGTAATAAATCATTGGCGTAACATAAAATTGCCACACAGTTATATGTTGGGACAGGAATCGTTTTAGTTGATCTCTAGAGCTTTGTGTCTAACACGATCTAAGGCTCTCTAAGTTCTCTTGTTCCGGAGGTCAAAATCTGTGTTAATTCAATAGCTGCATACCAATGTTACAGTTTGAGTCAGTTCAAGTTATGCTTTCCACAAAATTTCACAAAAATGTTTTGCTAGAAGCAGAAGCATTTAGGTGCCTTAGCTAAACCGAATGAATGACACATATCATGCTTTAAAACTCTTGATACCTTGGGTGAAAAGCAAATTATAAAATAAAAGATTTAAAAGAAATGCTGAAGGAAAATATAAGGTGAAATAATACCTTATTCAACAACATCAGAAATCGAAATCCAGTATGGAGAACGTGCAAAAATATAACAGTAATCCAGCGTAAAAAAAATTTAGCAGCAGCAACAACAAACACAAACTCAGTGGGCTATTTTATCTCCCTTTATTTCAGCATAAAATTACACTCTGTTCGACTGAATTAAATCTTTAATTTTTGCTTAAAAATTTGCTCTTCCCTTTCGCTCATACATAAATCTGAACTCAAACTGTGATTACACACGTAACAATAACTTAAGCTTCAGTCAGGCTCCCGCCAACAAAAGTTAGCTGTGAAGCGTTTTGAGCAAGTACTGTTAATAACAGAAAGGAAAATACAATGAGAAATGAATTATGTCTAAGTCAATTATTTTCTAAACACAGCTAACTTTGTTAAGATGTTTGTTTCAACAAGTGATTTAGTCGAGAAATTTCATTAAGGACAATACAAAATAATAATAGGCGAGTTATCTAATCGTTGAAAGCTGCGAGTAAGTCAGTTAACAGGTTTGTTTGAACAAGTGATATAATTGAAGAATATCATTATGGGAAAAGCTTACAGAAACAAATCATAGCTTAGCCAATCAGTTCTAGAAAAAATTCTCCATTCAGCTAATTTTAACAATCTTTAGCGTTCGTGGAGGAACGCTCAAAGCGCGGGTCATTTTGCCTGAAACAATCCAAGGTAATGGGCTACGATCAGTTGATCAACTGAAGTGTGTGTTACAATACCATTGAAATATGGCTTTTGAGCTATTTCGGTGCTTTACCTGAGATGAATCACTGTCGAGTTCTTGTCTCCTAGTTGGACTCAATTCGATTAGGACTTCATACTGTGTACTCATTAATTTATTTATTGCTAAAGATTCATTAGCTTCTCCAACCTTAATTAAGGCATCCAAGGGCACAAGGTAACCTTGGAAGAGGGTGCAAAGAGCCTGTAAATCAACTGAAGCCAAGGAAATTGACCACAACAATAGATTTACCCCAATCTTTAAAAAGGTTTTGGTTTTCGAGATACCCCCTCAGAGAATTGTCAGTATACATCTCTCTTTCGGTTAGCACTGTCAGGCGTATAGCTTTGCAATGCTTGTAGTAAAATCACAGTTTTGAGTTCATTTTGAATTTGTTAGGAGATTGAAATGTGCCTTTAGAGAATTTATTTCTTTTGCACTTCTCCTGTAATCAAGATTCCCTTACTCATACGGGCGAAAAACATACTACTTGTTCAAACGAGAACATGGATAGTCGAAGCTATCGATTACTGACGCCTCACTAGTTCTCTCATGACTAAAGCTTTTAATAACAGTATGAACAACATTTAGATCAGATAGCAATTGCTTCAGCTGATAACCCAACGCACTCTGCCAGTGAAGCTTTAGACGTAAGTCGGTTCAGTTGCAGTGAACAAATTTTTTCATTCATCTTCAGTATAACAATGTATTCTTAACATGTATCAAAATCATAACAAATGAATTCTTGTAATTTTTTATCTATTGTGTTTGACAAACCTGTTGTATGATTTACAGTTTATTCAATTTAAATACTTCTACTCCGTAGAATCTCTTCTGTCTATCCAAAGGCTTGGGTCCGTTAAGATACGATGCAAGTTGCCAACCTCATGAGAAAACGAGGACAAGAAGATGAGTTAATTGTAGTCATACTGTTTATGCAGCTGATTTAAAAATGTCTTGGTCATTTGTTACCCAAAATTGAACCCTCCCTTTTTTATATATTCAACATAATCAGTAATGCCAATTTGTTCGTAAAGATCAACCCACGAGAGTTTATCACTGAATG